ACTGCAGCCCAGGCTGCCTCTGATCTTGACGTCACCGATCAGCTCCCTTGCATTGGTGACCAACAGGTCCAGCATCGCATCCCCTCTGGTGGGGCTAAGAAGTTATCCTCAGCGCACTCCAGGAGTCTCCTGGATTGCCTACAGCTTGCCGTGCTACTTTTCCAGCAGATGTTGGGGTGGTTGAAGTCCCCCAGCAAGATGAGAACTTGCGAGCGTGGAGCCTCCTGGAGCTGGAGAAAGATGGCATCATCAGTAGGCTATGCTTGATCCGGCGGCCTGTAGCAAACACCAGCCACAAGATTCTCTTTGTTGTCTCGGTCTCTTGATTCTTACCCATAAACTTTCAACCTGCTCGTGGCTATTCTTCAGGGACAGTTCCTCACACTCTGTCCATTTCTGGAGGTAGAGGGAAGTGCCTCGGCCCCTCCTTCCTGGCCTGTCCCTTCTGAACAGCCTGTAGCCATTGGTAGCTGCAGCTCAGTCGTGGGATTCATCCCACCAAGTTTCAGAGGTGTCTTTTGTCACCGAGCCCTCCACCAGTCTCCTCCATGTGACATCTGGGCTTAGTGGCCAGTAACAGCAAAGTTTGGTGAAGGAGAGAGAGACCCAGTCTAAGGTTCCCTTTTAAGGGAATGTTGCAAGGGTTGGACGTGTTTCAACTAATTAAGCATTAGTCATTAGAATTGCTGCACTTCATTTATCAGAATCTAAACCGTGCTGTTGACCTGCCATGAATAAAATTGTGGACTGTATTAATGCACTTGATATGGTTTGTGTGGCTGCGTGCGTGTATATTTATACATACATACATACATTTAGGAAGACGTATGTGCTTGGGGTTTTTTTGGCTAGAACAAAGACAGAAGAATCTCGTCTCTGTGTGAAATTGCAGCAGTAGCATTAACATTACCCACTAAAAGGTCTAACACTAAAATAAATCAACTGGCCTGCCAAAAATCTCCCCAAAAGAAAAGTGCTCGAGACCAATTAGAGTTACTTTTGCTGTGGGAGGTACACCTTGTGCTATGGGACGTGTAGGTTAGGGTGTCCAACGTGTGGCCCAGGAGCCGCAGGGTGCTTATGAGCAGTCGAGTGTGACTCCTGACAGCTGTCTGTATTTCTGTGGACAGGGGGATTTTCGTTTCGCTGTCTGCAGTGTGGAACCAGTGCGGTTTGGACAGTGCTAGTGCAGATCTAAAGCAAGAAGGTGTCGTAGGCAGGAGCCGCAGCCTGGCACCAGGACCAGCTGCTGCTGGCTGCTGGGGGCAGATAGGCACAGTGCGGCAGGGAGGCTCGGCTCTCGGGAAGCTTTTGCTTGGCATTTTGTAGGACCAGGCTATGCTGACTGAGGCTGTTTCTCATAAAAAATAGCAGTTGTTTCTGTGAATTTGTCGTTAACTTCCTTCCCTGTTTCTGATTTTGTATGACTTCATGCCAAGCCAGTGGAGAGACAGAAGAAAGAAAACAAACCCCGAAAAACTCAACTGCATTTTTCAATTTGATTGTTTGAAATGTGTTCAGCTTTCAGCACTGAGAGAAGTCTCTTTGTTTGCCCTGATTAGAAGCTATTACATGTGAACTACGGGAAGTGACTTCACTTGAGCTGTGCTCCTTATGTGTATGGGTTCTGATAGCAACCAAACCCCATGTGGTGTACCAGAAATGTGACACATACGTTTTAGCCCCAAGAATAACCAGAAGAAGATTATTTTTTTAATAAGCTTTCAATCAGTCAATCAATCAATGCTTTGATCTCAAGTCATTTTTAGATGAACGAACCTACCAAGAACTTTGGTAAACCGGTTTCTCACACTGCAGGTGATAAGCACACCTACATACTTTCCCTGCTGTTTGGTTTGTTGTTTGGGTTTTTTTTTCTTTAAGTTTGCAAGAAAGCCTTGTAAGTTACTGCCCTTTCAGATGTTCAAACAGTGAAGGAAACTTTTTTTTGCCCTCCTAGCTGTGAAGTTTGTAAGATACAGCAGGTATCTTTCTGCTGCACAGGCTTCATGGCAAGCTGCTGTGTACAGTCACGCTGCTGAATTTCACAGCTCAGCTGTGCTTCTTGAGGCTTCTCTAACTGTTTTGCTCCTAAGATTTGTTAGGTGAAAGGAGCATAGTAGAAAGCCTCACTGGGCTTGGTGGGAGGATGGCTTTTTATGGGAAGCTGGTTAAATTACTCCTGGCTATGCCTGTTGCAGTACTTTGTGGTCACCAGGCAAAACACTTACTGTTCCCACCTGCGCTTGACTGTCAGGATTACTCCCTATTAGAAACTAGTAATGAATCGTAGGTGTTGTTATCATTTATATATTTGTATGACAGATAGTTTTGGAGTTCTGAAGAGTTTGTGTGCTTAAACTCCTGTCTACCAGGAATAACGCATGCATGCTTTGTGTTGGAAGATTTCTTTAGTCAGATCTAAGTGCTGAGCCTCCCTTCTAGAGGCATCCTTCCATAGCGACAGCGGTGCTGGACAGGATCAGACCGCTGTGAGGTGGGAGCCGGGCACCTTGACAGGTGATCTCCCACCGCTGGAAACCCGAGGATGTAAACTCGCCCCAAATCTTTCCTCTTGGGAACAAAGGCAGGGGCGCTGGGAGGATGGAGGTGAGGTGGGGGAAAGTGTCACTGCACATCAGCGTCTGGGTCAGGATGCCTAAGGGCTGGGCTCACCTGCAGTGCTAGTCCCGGTTTTAGGGAATCAGCTCAACCTGCAGGTCTGACTGAGTGTATGGGGTAGCAATAAGGCATGTTTGCTGCCTTATTTCTCCATTTCTGTCTCCAAATATAGTAACTCATTTTTTAGGTTTTACGTTTTAGTTGAGTGAGGTCATGTTCCTATAAATGTGTAAGAGTGATTGCTGGGATGGTTGCAAACCACCTACCGTTCTCCTGCCTGGGGAGAGGAGGCCCCAGAAAAGGCACAGGCGTTCACTCGCAGGGTGCTGCTCACCCCTGTGCGGGGCCAGGGCTCCTCGTCCCCCTCCGACAGCGTCTCAGGGGCTCTGTTCCACTTGCCTGCAAGCCCAGGGATGGCAGTCAGCAGGACAAGGCCTCAGTTAAGGGAGCCGGTGTTGCCCCAGCAGAACGTCCCATGGTCTCTGTACTGGCTTCAGGGTCTCCGCGTGTCAAAGACGTGGGAACTCACTGCTTGAAATCCATTGGAAGTTTCCCTCTCAAGCACTTAGGAGTAAATCTCCTTCCCCCACCCCTTTGGTTTTGGGGGTTATGGAAAACACAGTGCCCGCTTCCCAAAGTAATACGCTGTGTGGTGCATGAAAGTGCAAGTTTGCAATCTTTGCTCAGGTGAGCAATTATGATTGCAAAGTCAGCCCGGAGTGTGGTTTCTGGAGTTACTTATTTTTTCCTTTTTTTCCATGCAGAGCTGAGCAGTTGTAACTCTCTGCTAGTATAAAGTTTTGTTGTATGAGATAGAAGAGACATGAAAAGGAAACACTGAAGAGATATTCACTTATTTTTGTGTTGGACTAGGGAGTAGTTATTATAGTTAAAAAGTGAAAATCAGTCAGTGGAAAATTTAGCATGACAAAACATCAGAAATTAATGGGATTTGAATAAAATTGTTCTGAATTCTGGTAGTTATAACAAGTTCTGTTTTACTAGAATATAAACAGGATGAATTATTAATTGGTTAAGAGCTTCAGCTCCATTGTAAATGCACTTTGCACATCAAACTTAGGACAGGTAAGGCTTCTCTCATAAACATTTTTTACAGAGGAAATGTGTGGCAGTGCTCCACAATAACGAGAAAATAACTTGGGATTAACTGTTTGCTAATTGACTACTTTGATTTTTCCAAACAAATTGTATTGTAGAACAAGGTTTTCAAGCTTTTCCAGCAAGGAGTGCTGCAGAGCAAACCACAGGGCAGGAAAACCTTGTGTAACTTTGTGTGAGAAGAACCAAGACTGGCAGACTGCACATGCAGTGTATCTTGGGCAGAAAAATGTCCACAAGGTTATTTTTGCTGCGTTCCTCTGTGTGAAAGCTGAGCAAGGCTAACGGAGCAGTACAGTTTTACTCTGGGATAAATTACTGTTGTTAGCTATGCAAATCTTATGATTGTAATTAGGCTAGGATTTGGGCTGCTGTGTACACTGATCTTTGTTCCCTCTGCGCACGGGAGCTAATTCTAATGCTGCAAAACAGCACAGCAGACGTCGGGCGCTGCTCAGCTGGACGATCATTTCTCGCATGGTGTCTTTGCTCGAAGTGGACATTTTAGAACGAATCATTTACCTCTGCCTTCACAGGGCACGTGGATTGTACTGCAGGCATCTTGTGGGCCACTGAAGTGTTCAGGTACCGTAAAGTCTCGCTTGAAAGTAGAGGTTGGAGAAGGCAGGAAGGACTGCCTGATAGGCATCTAGTTTTTAGCAAACTCATTTTAAAAAGTGGTGTTCTGCCGCTGGTTGGCTAAGGAGCTGGTGGTATGTTTGAGCTATCACGACAGTGATTGCAGCTCCTAGTATGGCTATGTATAGCTCCCGTTATCTCTGCAGCCGGACTTTGTGTAACCACAGCCTGTGGCTCCTTGCCTGCGTTAATGAGCTCTCCCCGAGGACAGGCTGGTGCCTGTGGGGGTGGCACAACACTCAGGTGGTGCCACTGTGTTGGAAACCCGAGTTTGTTAACTGTGCTGGAGTCCAGCTTGCCCAAACCGCCACGGGATTTTGTCCCCGTGCAGTGTGGCCCCGTCTGGAGGACAAGGCGAGCTGCCTGCCGAGGCTGCCAGGCTGTAGTTCGCAGCGAAGGAGAGCTGTCACCTAGACCTGGACGGGGGGGAAGCACCACCGTGGTGAGGACGGTACAGGTGAGCCGTACCCGCAGCCTGCTCTCTGTGGCTGCCGGTGTTTCGGTCAGCCTCAAGCGGTGGCCTTTCGTGGTCAGCCCGTGTGCTGGGAGTGCGTCCTGCAGACAGTGGGTGTTGTTTCTCGGGTGACCCAAAGAGCAGGGGAAAGCCGTAGCTGCTGACCATGCCTCCCGATGGCTGGGCAGAAGTGGGAGCAGATGCCTTCAGGGTCAGGGGTACCAGGCTGGGGCGTATGAGAGATGTACCATACTCCTAGCCTGTCCAGCGGCGGTTTGCAGGGCACGATGAGCACCTCATCCGTGTGATTCGGTGGTGGCTGCAGGCCCGCAACCTGCTCGGAGCCTGCACTGGCACGCGTGCTGAGCTCTTCGGTACGCGTGCCTGCCCACTGCTACAGTGGAGTTCAGCAAAATAAACATCTTACCAGCTACAAGCTCTACTAGCTTGTGTAGTTTTATCTCCAGATGGATGAAAAAGGCATTATTTGGAACTTTTTCAGAATCCTTGCAAAGACATAGAGAAAGAACAAAGAAATACCCTCTATGGGACAAGATAACACTGCTGCTCTAAAGATACAGTAAATGGTATGATCTGGTTTTTAACAGCTTGTAATTCCCATTAATCTTGTTTATTTCTTTTTGTTGCCTACTCATCTAAATCACAGCAAAACAGAGGAATGGAGGCAGTTTTGCTTTTTCTTGCATGCTTGCACATTATCAAATATTCCTGTAAATTTGACGTCGAATCCATTAATTTTGTTTGTGTAAATACAATTTAAGGGAGCAGGGAAGCTGTAAAAGCGTCAAGTGAGGTACTAAAGCGCCTAACAAAAAGCAGAAAAAATCTTCTTCACGGAAGGTGATTTTTCTAACCAAGTGTATTTCATTTGTAGTGCTAATATGACAAAGTGTGTGTTGTTTCCATAGCTGGATGCTCCATATTTCAGAACAGATTAGCAGGGTGTTCTGAGGCTGTTGTTGAAAAAGTTACATTTTACTTCAGCAGCCAAGTTAAAAGAGAACATAAAATCTGTGTGAGTTTTGCAAACCGGTGCTGTGCTTTGGCTATGATAATGCATGCATTCCTTCACCAACAGCATCTGTAATTTAGCGTTGAAATACAAAGGATCATGACTTGGTCTGTAATTATCTCTGAGGAAGAATGTGAACTGACAGTTTTGTGCTGTTCGTTTGGGGGGTAAGAAATTGCAAAGACCCCTGTTCCTCAGGGTAGAGTTGCTATATTCACAGCGGTCCGATCCTGTGCTTCTGGTACACCTGGCAATTTTTAGTGTGCAATAAATTCAGAGTCAGGGTATTAACATGCTGATGCGGGGTCAGAGGTACTGTGTAGTGAATGTAATGCCAGGATGCCTGTTAAACAACGAAGTCATCTAGTTACCTTCATATGCCGTGTAATGAAAGACAGAAAATCCTAGAACGAGCCTTGGGCAGCTCTGAGTGTTTCAAGGTGCCACGCAGCGCTGCCGGTCGGAATCTCGAGCCCTGCTAGCTAGGTACTTAAATAACATTTCCAGCTGTGCAGCTGATTCCGTGCGGTGCCAGCGGATGGCTTCGTGGTGCTGGTTAGGCATGCTGCCTGGGGAGCCGTCCCCAGGGGCCCTGAGCTCCCTGGAGCTCGGTGGCACGTTCAGCGCCCGTTCGGATGCAAAGCTGTCCCTGGTTTTGGAGGAGCACCTCCCAAGCGCCCGCGCTGCGTGGATCATTTCAGACCTTATGTCTTGGCTCCAGAGGACCTAGCAAGGTTAGCTGACAGGGCACTAGCGCTGAATTTGGCGGCCAATTCGAGGGAGACCCCCTGTCCCTTCTTTCCTTTTCCTGCCTTCCCATGTGTTGCCCACCCTGGGGCCTCTGCGGCGGGCACTGCCCTGGGGCAGCCGGACGGTTTGCTCAGGAGCTCTGATAGTGATGAATCACAGAGGCATGGCATGTTTGATAAGGTGGTGTACTTTATGATTAGATACATCCTCCCTTTAACAGCAGTTCTTTGTCTCCATTTCGCCTTCGGTAATGTTTTTCGGCAGTTCGCATACAATGACTCTCCATGCAGGAGTTGTTTGACTTGAGACAAAGTTGCTATTATTCTAGGTAAGCTTAGGAAGCACTCAGAATTTTGTTGCCCTCAGAAGATGTAGGCTGTCGGCGATTTGTTTAAAAGCCAATTAAGTTAAATCACCAAGAATTTTTTTTTTTTAGCCTAGCTGTAAAGGATTTTCAGGTGCATAAACCAGTGCATAACAAGAAGAATCCACCCTGCAGCTGTGTTATTTTTTGTGCATATTAAGTGGTGGCTGTAGAGTGGCATGTTCTTAATCTGTAGCACTAGCAAAAAAAATCGTGGATTTTAATTATTCATCGTGCAAGTGTGCAGTCTGGGAGCCGTGGCAAAAGAAAACTATTACATGGTCCCAAACGTATTGAAAAATATGGACTACTGCTGTGCCTGCAACCTGGCCAACATGTAAGTCTATTTATTCATTTAGAGATGATGGAGAGCCCAAAGAACTCAGTAGGAACACTTCAGGTTTATTTGGGGAGATTTTGGACTAGACTTGAGGCATGTAATTTAGTCAGGTGCCTACTTGTGTTTACAAACTGAAACCTTTTCAAGCTGCCCTGAAAATTGCATTTATGATCACAGAATCACAGAATCACAGAATGGTAGAGGTTGGAAGGGACCTCTGTGGGTCACCTAGTCCAACCCTCCTGCCGAAG